AAATCCTACGTAGGATCCTATGAAATCCTACACAGGATCCCATAATATCTTATGAAGGATCTGATAGGATCCTACGGTAGGAAAGTGTAGGATAAATCCAAGACAAAGAAGTCTTACGTCTTTCCTACAAGATCCTATGTGGATTTGGTAGGATCCTACGTAGGATCTTGTAAGAATCTTGTAGGATCCTACGGTAGGATTGTTTGACCTGGGTAGAATTATGGAGGTTTCTATCGAATGCGTCATAATGAATGAGCCTCTTAGTATTTTCTGTTTTTCTCGTGTTCCTTTAGGATCCTAAGATTAGTGTTGTTTTTACAAGATGCGCCACGAAATACCGTACAAAACCACATACAAACTTTAGTTTTTGAACTTCAATCAAGAGAACTACGTAAATTATACGAAAACCGGAAAAAATGAAAACTTTGTATAGTTGGTAATTTTTCGACTTGACTTTGTTCTTCTGTAATTATTCACGTAAAAGCGTAGCAAAAGTGAAAACTCAATTCTTTGTGTACTTCTGAATATGCTCTTCTCCTGGGCTGTAAAAAAATCTTTTTAGCGCAGATGGTGGGCTGGAGTACTAAGTTTCAAAATTTTTTCCTCGTTTTCAGCAAGGTGCCGAAGCAAGAAATGGGAAATCTGGTCGATGTTTTGATTTCACAATTAGTAATAGAAAATCAATCATTTCTGATCAAAACAAAACAAACCCCAACGAAAAAGCGTTTGTTTTGTAGGAGTTATGGGTCTTTTACTGGAAGCACCGCCACTGAAGTACACCAAAATGGTGTACTTTTTACTCAGTTTACTCCAAGTTTCCTGTTGAAACTAAATGGTTAAAGTTCATTCCGGCAATTTTGGCTGTAGTTATCATAATTACCCCATAAAAAATAGCCGTGTTATGACAATTACCCCAACAGGGAGAATTATGATAATTCTAAACCTGTTCACTGGAAATTGGTTAGAACTAATTAATGTTAACGAATTTTAGAAAAAATTTTACATCCGTAGATAGATAAGAGTCTGCTCTATCTACCTGCATAATACTGATTTTCCCCGATAAAAGATGATTTAATTATGCTCAAAATATCTGAAAAGTTTTAGGCGATTATCAGAATTACCCCATGTGACTCCAGTTGTTTAAGGAAGAATCTATAATTGTATATGGTCGTATGTCTGATGGCTTTGGTTATCATAAATGAAAACAAAATGTAAAGAAAATTTTCCAGTTCAGCTTTTACAACATCTTGAGTGGAAAATTCAAAGAATTTAAGCATCAGAAGATTAGTCTGTTTTCTTGTGCATTTCTTTTTTTGTTTGACTGACAAGTAAAAAGGCACAAAAATTAGAAGAAAATTTTATATTGGGCGTAAAACCAGTTAATCTTGATAAAAGGGAACGTTGACCGATCGCCAACTCGATTTTTGAATGATACTGGATTATTCATGTATAGTAAAATACAATTTTTCATCGAACAGATGTACAAAATAAAATGAGCTGGAGTTTATGACATACATATGTAGAATCTAGACAAATATTATCCGACAAAAAATCTTTCACGAAAAGCACTACTTTATAAAATCGTCTATCAAAAATAATCACATATTAATCGTCAAATTCTAATGATTGCTGATAAAATTGAATTACATCTCTTGGATAACATTCGTTAACAATTTTATTTGATATCCATATTCCACGCTTAATTCCCCGTAATTTACAATGAAATTCCATTGATTCATCATCACATTGTCTTAAACCAAGTATTTTTTCTAAACGATGTTCACCATTTTTAAATGGATTATCTGTTTTAAATGATGATTGATGACAAATACTTTTTATGCAGTTATCAAACATTACAGATGATGATTCTATTTTCTGTTCTCTTATCGATGGTTGATGTTCCGTAATCGGTGTGAGATGTTTTTGTCTTTGTTCATATTTTTCTATTAGCTTGTCACAATTTAAATGTTCAATTGGTTCCCATGTATTGTAGGCACTTGACCAGCCTTTCCATTTAAGTAAATATTGAATACGATCATTTTTGATACGTTTATCGACCACTTTTTCCACAATATATACACAACTGGACATTATTATATTTGAAATCTGAAAGTACAGAACGAAGATTCAATTTCATGAAGATTCAATATTGTAATAAGATAAAATAAAGAATAAACAACAATTCAAATAAACTACTCTTGCGTGGACTGTAAAACAATTCTAGCTCATCACTTATGATTGGCTCATTCTGGCTTTTTCTAAACAAAATTTGATGAGCTCCTATTCTTATTCAAGAATTGCAATACAGTCGAAGGTTATACAAAGAATATCATCGCATAAAGAAATTATGACGAAGATTTAACAGAATATAGCGGTAAAAAAACAATATTTCAGTCGAACTGTAATAGAGTTATGAAAAATCGATCGTCTCCTTTAGAAGGAAAGATAAGTTAAGTTAAGATTTTTGTTTACACAAGAGAGCTGGCTATCACAAAAAAGAACAAAAGACTTGTGACAGCCGTGGATACGCTGTGATAACCTAAAACTAAAAAGTTAAAAAAGGATAAAACCCTAGTGAAAGTACTCATACGATGAGTACGACTTTACTCATAATTCGTCCACGAGTACTCATATTAGTACTACTAATAATTGTTGAGTATTGTTACTCAGTGAGTACTCAGAGAATATTCATCCACCGTTTTATTTTGCTAGACTGAAACTGTATAAAGAACGCGTAGAATTTAGCGAACAAACATAGAATATTTATATTATTATTTCCTCACTGGTCTCTCTGTATGTAGTAAGGGATGGACTCATCTGTGACTAGACTTGTAGTCCTACTCTGGCCGCCTGAGAAAATTTAAGAGTTATCAATGCAATACTTCAACAAAAATCCTCGTTCTACTTTTAGTAATACGATGAATGATGCTTGCTCCATCGACGATCAAGTGTCATTGTATTTAATAAAGTGTAACTTAAATAATAAAACATCTCTAGTTATTTTCATGATATATAACATGATAACGAACAGCGGGGTTATTAAACCTCCTTATCCATTGCCAAATTTTCTACGTGAGTTGTCTCATCAAAACGAGAAAATTAGGAAACACTTTTTGTTTCGATTTTTCGTACTAGAAAAAGGGATCAAAAAGCGTTTTTTAATTTTCTTACAAAACGTTTTTTGGTATGAAAAACGAAACAAAAAGCGCTTCTTTATTTTCTCGTTAGGTGCGACAAGTCACGTAGAAAACTTGGCAGTGGGTAGCTCGAAAAGCAACTAACGAGCAATTCATACGACGCGAAACTGTAACAGAATTTTGAATGTCATATGCTGTGGTTGATGAAACCTTATGCACTGATGAGAATGACACAGTGATTTTTTCCCTGTGTCCATTGCAGAGATCGATTCATTCATGTCTGACAAAGTCATTGTTTTTCAAAGAAATTTAAGTTAAGTTTCTGGGGTTGTTACAGGGTGATCGTGACTAATCTATATTTATCAAAACAAATTCTAATTAACAATCAAAGGAAACTCGGAGCAATCAAGTTAATAAAAAACTGACGCATCGTGACCGCGAACTACATTTTTTTTAAAAAAAACTGGTTCATCAAGGCAATTCTTTTTACTGTGATTAGTCCGAACGTCGACTCTCTGACTTAGCATAAGATTTTTTTCAAATATCTTTCACAATCATACGCTTTTTTCTTCCAGCTGCGATATCAAACAAAGGAGCACAGCTTCTCATTTTCCGTTTTGTTCTGATACATTCAAGTATATTACAAAAAAAAGAGATGAGCATACCCAAATCCAGGATTAAGACTGTCGTAAACGGTTCAAATTACGCTATCATAATGTGTCGTGAACTATAGTATTTCGTCGTATTTTGACAGAAACCCGGACATCGTATTCACCTTAAACGACGTCGTTTACGATGGACATAATACGCTGGGCGGGTTTACGTCAGAATACTATAGCATACGGTCGTGAATCTTTGATGTGGGTAAACATCTGTCCTAGTACTACGGTCTTGTCCTGTATGAATGGTGTAAACACTCGTTCAAAGAAAAAAAAGTAAATTTCACAGCTGACACCCGAACTCACACATGTGGTTCTGTAATTATCTATAACTTACTAATCATGGGCTTAACGAAGACGACTGCTCTAGATATCAGCTGAGCACAATTTTAACCTACTTTAGACATCTAAAGGTTACTTAGGAGCACTTGAATAAAAATTAAAGTTCATTGTAGGGAATTCTAACGAAAAACAATTTTAGAAATTCTGTTTTCGTGTGCTATAGTTAACAACTTGTCCTCTGTAGCGTGCTTTTAGAAACGTCATACATCGGCGTTTCAAAAAAAAGAAGTTCCACTGAAGATTTTTGAAAATTTCTAAAAGTAATTTTAAACTCATCAATCCAGATGAAAGACATCTTACAAGATCTGATGATTTCTTATACAGCTTTGCTATCAGATCATTTGTCAAGAGCTTCTAAGATCTTACGGAATGTTGTAACTTCGTATCGAAAGATCTTACAAGATCAGCTTATAAGAAATGTTAAGATCTTGTAACAAGAAATTGTATAATCTTGCAAGACCCTGTATAAGCTTGTCAGTGAGATTGTTGAAATATTTACTTTCTATTACAAGATCATACTATTTCTTGTTACAAACAAAAATTCCAAGAAGTTATGATTCACACTTACCATATAAATTTGCTACGATATATAGTATATATGTATATAACATACTTCTCATGACAAAGCCTAGAATTTTGTTCTTCTTTCGACTTCACACATCAGCTGAGCACAAATAAAATGCATGGCTATAAGAAACGTGCTTAGACACGTTTGTAAGGACATCAGAGTTCGAAAACATCATCTTTAAAGAGCGTCTATAGAGGGAATCTGTAGGAACCAGAGACATAATCTTGCAAGATCTGTTGAATTCTTATCTTATTATGACCGTATGAAGTCTTTCAAAATCTTGTCACTTCTTGCACGATCATACAAGATCTTATTATTGAACAGCGATTCTTGTGAAATCTTGTAAGATCATATTTCAAGATTCTTTGCGCTGGGAATGGATAACTTTTCTTCTGATAGAACGATGAATGGAACTAATTACGCAAGACTCTCGAGTGACCTGAATTTCTTTTTTTGATTACGATCTCAAAAACTGCGACGCGAAAGGTTTTTTTTACTAACGACAATATTTTTCGAAACTTTTTTCGAGTGTTTTTGTAAGTTTAACGAGAAGCATGAATTTTCAAATCAACATGTCAAAAAAGCAATCTCATCTCTAAAGATAAAAACTCAAAAGGAAGAACGAGCCTTCCATATTCTGTTGTCTCATTTTTGCGGTCGAATAGGCACTTTAGTCGTAAAACTATTCACAAATAATTAAATTTAAGAAGCTGATACAATGCTTGAGCTTCTTGAGTTTAATTACTTCTGATCAAGTTTTGTGTAGATACCTTTTTTAAAAACTGTTGATCAAGTTTTTCTTCAAGCTGGTCATAAATCTAACAGATCTGTCATAAATCTGATTCAAGATCTTAATCAGAATTGTCGAAGATTCTGCTGGACAAGAATCTTGCAGCATCTGCTGCAGATATAAAATTTCTGTATGACCAGGGTAAACTCTTCTTATTGAAGAGATAGAATCTACCCTTGTGATAGTAGAGCGATAGAATCTATCCTCAACCAGGAGGATATACAAATGAGCATGATGGATGGACGAGTCGACTCATGACGTTCTTAACTAGATCAAGCTTAGTCTTTTCTTACCCAATATCGACTAAATCAAACTTTTGTGAAGACTTTTCCTTTCTTTACATCGTAGAATGTTTAATAAAATCATGAGCTCTTCTACAATTATCGAGAAATAGGTATGATCTCAGTCATACTCCCTTTCTTCTTTAGAAATCACTAATCTCAGCCTCGCACACGAGACCATACAGATTTCTTAAAATTTTGTAACTGACAATATCTTCCACAGAATTTCACACCTTTTCTTATGGGTTGGATCTCGAAATTTTCAAATATGTCATTGTACTTCTGATTACAGCCTACACACACACAGACATGTTCCACACACTTTACCTACAAAACAATTTCCATTTCGTTGAATAAATGGTTTATCTGATAAATAAAACTTAACACGACTATACTGAAAATTGACACATCTATCGGAGATATTAGTCTTTTCTGCAGAAGTGAAAAAAAAAATTTTCTTCGATACAGTCGTCTGAAGATGAACATTTGAGTATGAAAGAAAAATATATTATTTTCTTCGATTTTAGACTGAAATCAGTATGTTCAATTTGCCTGAACGTAAAAGCTGTCTCCTACCACTGGAATAGGACAATAAAATAATATATTTATAATACAATATTATGATGAGCCTAAAACAAAATATTGAAAATGTTCGTCGTATAACAAAGTAGCTCAGAAGGGCTCGAAATGATGACTATAAACGACGGTAGAAGTTGTCCTAGAGAATGTCCGATTTGTCTGGTCTTGAAAACAGAGTGAAGACTTATCTTACTTACAGATGTCTCTTTCGTGCTTTTATTCTTGTTCTAGTCAGCTCCAAGGCGGGAATAAGAAAGTGATAAGACCAGGTCAAGATAGTCTGTTTTTTCTATTGATCAGACAAGCAGTAAATGTTCATGTGGTCTTAGTATCTTCTGAGAAATAGACCTTGGTCAGTTTCACGACCAGAGCTCCGTTTTATTTTCATAATCACCGGTTTGTTTTGCTACGTCACATAGTATATAGTGACCACTAATTCTTTGAAAAATTTTTGAAGTTATTCTCAAAGGTGATGAGTAATGTCTTAGAGATTTCTGTACTGACCAAGAGATATATAGCGAAATTCCGAGTCTGTTGGTTGCATTGGAAGGTCTTGAGAAAACTTTCTGGTTTCTACTGATTTTTGGCCAGTATGAGCGAGCAGCACAACTAATTTTTGCATATATACAACAAGCTCGTGGATTTGATTTCTTTCACTGATTGAGGGAAAAACAGGTCCTGACCAGGAAAACAGGCAAGGACTTTTTTATTTATAGGTATCTGACGAGACAAACT